ACGTCTCCAGGGAACAGTCTGACAACCGAGTATATAGCGATATAATTCCAGATCTGACAAGCTTGGAAAAGATACGTACCTACGAAGAGTTGCAACCAGCGAGATAAGCGAGAGCATTGCTCCATTATTAAAGGACAAGACCGTCTCGCCACGTTTAGCTGATCGTACACCGTAATATGGAAATGATGGGCTTGTGAGACTCTGAGTGCGCAGTGTAATTAACCTTACAGTGGCTAATTTGACGCCCGATTAGAGCCTTACTCAACACAGCCAATCAGAGAATCGTTGGAAACATCCTTCTCCGTCGGCAGTAGAGAGAGTAAATGTGGGAAACTGCTAAATGTCAAAAACTATTCATGCGCACACGTAACTTAACCGAACATCAAACACGATCGATGGGGGCATTGTCTGTCTTAATGGTTGGTTGAGTCATGTGATACATGTATTACATATTTTCCATAATATATGATATCATTAGATGACATGATGTGGTCGAATTTCATATTTTGTGTTTAAGCGTTCATTACGTTCATTGATCACCCCGCAGCATCACGAAATATACCTGTTAGTAACACATTGCGGATTAGTCTAATATCTTCATATTTGATCGTGCATACAACTTATATCATTCGACACTACGTATTGCCCCGCATACATCCAATTTTGTGCAATGTATCATATTCGTATTACACTGTATTGTTCACTGAATGTATCATATGAATATAACACACACAGATACTCCTCACCGCTATATTACACTAATTAGTACCCAATATTACACTATATCATAGAATACACGTATCGACTTGTATTGTCGGCAACATTGTGTTTGAAACCTATGACATGTTAAGTAATAAATGTGTACTGTAATGAAATCAACAACTACTGTATTCGCAATATATCTCCCTTGCCGAACTTTACCGAGCAGTTCCGTAGCTTCGCTTGTGATTGAGTTTTCAACAAAGGTGTCATCTAGACACCGAATCGCACGCAGGATTTTTCCTTTGATAATCGAATATGAAATATATTACAAAATAAATATTCGATGTAAAGCATTTCCTATTAGGATTAGTTTGAGATGCACATCAGACTCGTGAGTTGTTC